CACCAAGGCCTTGAGAGGCACGTAGCGCTACAATAGCACTTGAGCCTGGTGGTGGGGCTCGGATCCTGGTTCTGCTACTTATTAGTTACGTGACCTTGAACAAATTTCTTTATCTCTCTGTGCCTCAATTTGTTCCTGTGTAGAGATAAAAATAGTACCATCTTCGTAGTTTATTGTAAGGATTAAAAGAACTAATACACATAAAGGGCTTAGCATGGTGTCTGGCACAGAGTAAGTGCTCTGAAATGTTGCTGCTATTATTACATCATCATTCTGGAGAGGGACTTTAGTTAAAAGACAGACTAATATAATCTAAAATCCCCCTTACAAGAGGACTGTGATGTCAAGTAAATTCAGTGTAAATCAAATCTAGGACCAGGACATACTAGTGGCCACCTCCACACAAGGGTCAGTTGCTCTCCATCTTCCAATGCACCCATCTTGTCCCTTGGGGAGGCTGGAAATGCTGTTGCTGGGACTTTGCAATTGCTCCTATGGATGGAAACAGATTTCTGGGCTAATGAGGGAAGTCTTCCCTGAACAATAGCTTGCTTTCAGGACCTTGCCTGCAGAAAAAGAGTGAAAGGTATGCTTCAGTGCCCCACGTGCAGGGAGACAGGTGGGCCCTCTGTATCATTGCCATGGCTAGGGTGTGAAGATGCTGCCTGATCTAGTTAGGAGAGGGGTGAGCCAAGTCTGTACTGGGGCAAGAGGGCTGCACTGCATCTGTGGCCCTAACTTCAGATGCAGCAGGCCAGAAACCACTGCCTCCTGTGGGGAGGAGGTCCTCTGAGGTTTTGCTATGTGTTCCCAGATGGGATGGCACTGGTCAGCAGGGAGAAGAAGGTTTCTGAGATTGCAGCAACGCCTGTGACGACCCCTTTGGCTTTCCCAGTGTTCTACCACCAATTGAGTGCTGCCGCTCACAGCACAGGTGAGAGGCCCCAAGACTCCTGCTGGGGGCTGCTCCCAATAATTTAGGGAAATGTGGAGAATTGACACAGCCAGAACAGGGTTGATTACACCAGCAACTAAGGAAGGCAGACACTAAAATGCAAGACGGTTGCTGAATATGGCCTTCCTTTGAAGAACAAAGGCAAAGAAAATTGGCTCACCAATGAGAATTAAGTGATAACAATTCACTGAACAGAAATAAAAAATCAGTTCGAAGTCAGCTCACTCAGAAAAATACAGGATCCTGAAGAGTAAAACTGAACTATGTAAGACCTTTGAATAGTGGAAATTTTACTTTAAAATGCTTTTATGAAGTGATTTTTGTGCTTGCAAAGATGAAGCAAAGGCAAAGCCCAGGGAGCCGTCCTGCCTTCAGGCCGCCTGTGCTTCTGTCTTTGGCACAACAGGTCCTGGGTCCCCTGGAAGCCTCTAGGCAGATGTTCATCAACAGCCAGGAACCAGCAGGGTGGCCCCTCTCTCAGGCTGGAGGGCCTCTTGGTTTTTTATTTCTTTAGGCCCCAAAGCTAGGGTTGGAATTTAAGACAAAACGCAAGCCTTTTGGGTCGAGTCCATTTTGTATTTCAGATTCAGTTGGTTAATGCTAGGTTTATTTTACTCTGGGAACAGTTCCCCTGCACCCCTGCTCCAGCCCCCAGTGACTACCCATGTGCCTCATGTTTTCAGGCTCTGCTCATTGCTTAACTCTAATATGATAGGAACCATCCTGGGTCAAGAACAATGCAGAGTTGGCGAGGAAAGGATCTGGATTGTGGGAAAGAAGAGAGTTCAAGGAAGAGACAATTTATAAAGAGACAGAGAGGGAAACCCACAAAGGAAAATATAGTACTCAAGGGCAACAGTGGCTGGTCTTGTCCTTAAAGGGACCAGGAGCACACTGCTAAGGGATGCCAAGGAGCTTGGCCTTTAAAAGGAGGATGCAGCAAATGCCAAGTGGCCCAGCACACAAGGCACTGGGAGGAATGTCTGGGCCTTGTTCTCTATGGACAGAATCCTAACTAATTCAGGAGTCAGGGCAGCCCGATAATGCAGTCCCTAAAGATCAGCCTCTGGATAGAGAGGACAGAGCAGGCAGAGTAGTTTTGAAGGGGTCAATAGAAAATATCCAGCTCAGGGTCATTTCTCAGAGACCACAGCATCTTGATCTCCAGCCAAGTGCAGCCATTATAGGACACAACTTCCTCAGCCAATTTCAAAGCCCTGCTTACTGCTGGGAATGCATGTTTGAACAAAGCCTTTATTCTCTATTCCAACAGCAGGGCTGGAATTTTAAAAGATTCATTTTCAAGACTCACTGCTTTTGATCTGTCTAACCTGGAACTTACATTTTGGAGTCAAATGGAATTATTTAAACAAAGCATTTCCATGATAAGCACAAAATGTTTTTATTTTTTCTCTTCTACTCCCTCCCCTGCCCATACTACATAGCATTCTTACTCAAAATGTAAGGACTATGTGTGGCCAAATCTTCAAACCACAGCCTCCCAGCTTCCATAGATCTTTGTTTCCTCGCCCTGTCTTTGGCTTTGATTGTATACAGGCCAGGGAGGGGGCTAATTTTGTTTTAGACTGGCTATTCGATGAGCAGTGTTTCCCTTCTTTGACTTCTGCTTCCAGGTTTGGCAAAGCCACATGCCATTCTTCAGTTTTGTTAACTGTACTTGCTTCTCATTTTGCTTTCCCCAACCCCAATCATTTTCCTTTCTTCTCTGATACCATCTTCTGTTCTCAGATGAACTCATCCCCAGCTCCAGGCCTGCATTCCTATCTTTTTTACATTCTTCCTGCCTTGACTTACCTGCCATCAAGTCAGAGAGTTGATCAGTATTGGAAACAACTGCTTTGTACTGTGGAGACAAAGTGTGTCCCTCTGGGCAAAACCCAGCTCTCTGTCCTGTGGTGCATGGGAGGTGTCAGAGAGATTGTCATTGATGCCTCAGAGATAGCCTTTTGGTTAACGAAGCCAAGCTGAAAGGGAAGAGCAACGTTTTTCACAGCAATGGAAATCAAATGAAGAAAGAGGACTATTAGTTGGAAAACAAAGCTCAGATATGGCCCAGTCTCAATGTGTTCCTTATGAATAAATAACAGAAATAATAGGGAACTTCTCTCTCCAAAGAGTGAGTTAAATTTCTATCAGAAAGATTCTATGCAAATAAGATGAAGATATGTAACAGAATATCTCTGTTATTAGGAGAGCTAATAGAATGCATCTTATGATAGGAAGGATGGCTGGTTCTTGCCTGGTGTGTGATGGGAAAAGGTACAGAGACACTAAAATGTTATAAAACAACTTCAATTTTCAATAAGTAGATAGTTCTGGTGCTTTGCTCAGGCTTACTGAACAGAATCATTAATTTAGGGCCCAGAGAGATGTGGATAGTACTCAATTTTACCACAGACTCCTCTAATCCCCAAAGACAATATCACTGTAAAAGTAAAAGCATTTTGAACACAGGGAATAGTCCATTTTCAGGCCTGGGAACTCTGCAGAGTCATAGCCACAGTCTTGGTTGGCTGTTTTGCAAGGAGACCAGCTCTCCATCAGGGTCTAGGTCCCTGCTCTTCCCTTCAGAGGTGACAGACTATAGCTCTCCCCTCTGCTTCCAAGTACTACTAGGAAAAGGAAATTTCCATTTAGCTAGTGAGGCCATGGTTATGATCTAGTGGACAGAACACACTCCTCAAAGGCTGGCTCACAAAACCCTAAGAGAATACTTAAAGCTTAGAAGATGCTGTACAGGATTCCAAGAGAACTGGAAATAATAATCAAAAAGGAGGAAAGAACTTGAAGAAGCTACATCAACTTCAGTTTTAAAATAAGACTAAGACTACTTACACTAGACATGTTTGGCTCACAGATTCCCTCAATGGAAGCAGGTTGAAGGTATTAAGAAAATACTGGCAGAACCCCTTGGCCAGGGTAACTCATGCCAGTGTTATCTCTGATGCATTCAGAATCACACTAGTGTCTTCTAAATTAATTGCAAAAAGCACATGTACATCCTTCAGCCACTGAATGGATTTATATATACTAGTACTTGCTTAACTGGCCAAGTATGGTTCACTTTGGAGTCCTAAATGACAATGCCATGAGAGTCTGAAATTAAGCTAGGTTATTACTTTATAAAGAAAAATACAAACTGATTTTTTTTAAATTGGGAAGCCAAAAGAAACATTCATTCACCCAGTTTAGCCTCTGGATAGCAAAATTATTTAACTGGGTGGAAAGGAGATATCTCCAATACTAAGATTAATGATGTATTTTCCCTGTATCCAGCCTCATGCCCATCCCCAAGGTATGCACCTACCATTGCAGCAACAGGCCAACTATGGTCTAAGGATTACAAGACCTTAATATATTCCCTTCTTGTTAACATAAAAATTAACGTGCATGGGTAACATCTGGTTTTTATTGACTTAATCAATACATTGAGAATTTAGCAGCAAGTTAATGGCAAGCAGTTACAAAATGTCCTATTTTTTTATGTTTAAAATAAGTTGTCCTAAACAATCTACAGCAACCTAAAATCACAAGAACACGTGAAGGACTGAAGCATTTCTGCCATAATGCCTATGGCAAGTTTATTAGTAATTTTCTAACAAAGTCTTCTAGTGCAAAGTGCACATAATTATTTGGAACCTCCATTACCATATTTGGCCTTTTGTTTTTCCCTTGCAAATAATTGTGCCTAAATGCAAAATCTTAAGTAAAACTGAGCAAGTATGCCCACAGCCTTCCATTGAGGGCATTTGCACCCCCTCCCAAAGCAAACTTCAGGTACAACTTATGTTGATTTCAGCTGCAGCCTGACATCAAGCCTGTTGGTGGCTGTCCTTCTACACCCTGTGCAGTTTACACTGCTTTGGAGATAACGAGCTTCAGTTTTAACCTGATGAAACACAAGGCAGGGCCCAGCCGAGCTAAAAAGAATCTCCGTTTAGTACTGTCCTTTCCCCTCCTATGCCCTCCCTTTAGCACTAGAGAGAACAGTTTGTTTTTGTACTATTCAGCACTGGAGGGAGCCTTAGAGTTTCTTTTTGGATCGAAGCAGGGCAGTGGATTTAGCAGTGGATTTGGTTGGAGACACAGGGGTTTTCTCTAGTTCTCCCTTGAGATCAGCTGGAAGGAGTTTGCTAGAGGTGGAAAGAGAACAGCACGTGTCAAAGTCTTCTGTATCTGCCCTCTTACTGGTTCCAGGTAATTTCTTGGACTACAAATGAAAGAAGAGACCTGAATTAATTTTCAGACATGAAAATAAACATCAACTCAAAGAACGACACTGTCATTAAAGATTTGCAAGTTGAAGCATTCTATTTTTGGGACACAAAATAGTCACACTGTAAACTTATTATTAAATCTCTCCAAAAAGATCCTTTAGCTTTTTTTTCTTTTTTTGGTTCTGGGGATTGAACCCAGGGTAACTTAACCATTGAACCACACCCAGCCGCACCCCGCCCCCATTTTTTTACATTTTATTTTGAGACAGGGTCTCCTTAAGTCCTTAGGGCCTTGCTAAGTTGCTGGGATTGGTTTGAAACTTACAATTCTCCTGCCTCAGCCTTCCACATGTGACACCACACCTGGCCCTTTATCACCTTTAAGCCAACTGACTTTTTTAGTGTTTGGTGTAAAGCAAATCATACAGGCTCAGTTTCAAAACTTCTGTCATGCAAAATGACATGTACCCGCCCAGTGGGGTACAAAACTGCTGCATACCAACCACTCTCATATTCTCACCATTCTCCTGCATGAATCCAGGAACTGACTTATAATCATAGTCACACCACTTGGGCAGGTCTGTAGACCCCTTAAAGTCTCAATTCTTCACTGGTAAAGGGATATGGAAAACAATAATTGCATGTTTACTTTGATAATGAGAATGAACTGAGGAGGTAGCCATGAAAGTACTGTGTGAGTTTAAAGCACAAAACAAGCAGATGAATTTTCACAGGCAACTGTAAGTTCTCAGATCACCTCACTCCAATAGTAGAAGAGGAACCAGTCTCAAATTCTGATGTCATGAAGGAAGCAGAGTCTACTTTGACCTTTGGTTCATTTTAATTAATCACTTTTAATTAAATTAAACTAAGCATAAGAGTTATAAAAGAGAGCAGAATGTTCCTGGATGCTATAAAACAAGACAGGGGCCAGGGGCATGGGGTATAGATATAACATGCTCTCATCTACACACAACAGTCTGAGAAAGGGTTCACAAGTTTACTCTTCTGGTTAACTGAAAGAGTACACGTGGTCAGGTGAACAATTTTCAAAAATGTGAAAAAAATTATACATAACACAAAGCAAATTAATCTGGTGTTTCTTTGATCATTCAAACTCATATATAATAAGTACATTTTATAACACAAATTATAACTACATTTTATGCACAGTAGTGTGTGTATGTGTGTGTGTGTGTGTGTGTATGTGTGTGTGTGTGTATCTCCAATGAATAAACATCTTCCCAGAGATGCAGCAAAGTTTCAGGTCATTTACACTTTTTGATATCTATATTTAAAGAAAGAGAAGATCCACCTGATGTCTGTTTATTGCAGACAATTCTTAAATATGTGCCTCTTCAGAGCCTCACTCATGTCTGACTTTATAACAATGTATGCTAATTCTTGAGCAGGTAATACTTAAAAAGCATTTTGTACCTTGAATAATTTGTATAAAACTGAAATGTAAAAAGGCCATTTTCTCTTCCTTTTTACCCCCAAGAAGACTTCTCAGTTGCTTCTATGTATTCTTTCAAAAAGCGGAATATATTTAAAAGTCTTTAATATTCACTAACATAGGTTGTTTCCTCTTGTTGAAACTCCTTATATTCGTCAATATGGTGAGATTATGGCACCCTTAATGTTCTGGTATCTGGCTGAGGACACATGGCTTTCTTTAGTACAGTCCAAAACATAAAACCTATTTAGGAGTTTCAATTCATAAAATTTAATTAACTTTATATACAAATCCTATTAAAAGACAAATCTAAGTGTAACTCTTTCTCTCTTTTGATATTTCTACTTGGATTCTGAGTTATTATTCAAATTGTTGAGGGAATGTTTTTCAATATTCCACTGCAACTAATATTATACAAATATAATAGAGCTTCACCCATTTCCTTTTAATTTGCTTATATTCATATCTGGCTTAATGTTTCCATTCTTCCTCGCTGTTTCATTTGTTAATGTATGTCAGTCCTTAAAGTAGACTAATGGGTCCAGGAAGAAATACTCAGAAACAATCTCTATGGTCAGGGATAGCAATATTGTTTTCCACAAAACACACACACACACACACACACACACACACACACACACACTGTCCTGAAGATCATTCTATGATAATTCTTAAAAAAAAGATTGCTCATTCTTTTTTTCTGGCTAGGCAGTAATTCTTTTCTTTCAATGTACTATACTTTATTTAGTCAGTCCCTTCACAATGGACATTCAGGTTGTTTCCAGTCCTTTACTAATACAAATAATGCTGCTACACATAGTCTTAGACTTGTGTCATTTTGCATGTGTCACTATTATTGATTGGCTATATATTTTAAAAGTGGAATTTCTGGATCAAAAAGGCATATGAATTTATAATTTTAAAAGATGTCATCATATTATCTTCTACAGCAGTTATAGGAATTAATAATTACTCTCTCAGTATAAAAAGGAGTCTGTTATTACTTCTTTGTCAATTTGATATTCAATACAAGTTAGAACTAATATAGATGACCATATTTTAAGTTTCAAAATTGGCCTAAAACTAACTGCATTGAAACAAATCCCTTGTAGCATCAATGCAAACATGCTTATCTTTATTTCAAATGTTTATTGCAAATACTCAGAAGCTTCTGTGTATATGGGTTTAACCTGTAAAATACTGTGTGTGTGTATGAGCACAATTATGCCTTACAATTTTTCTTTGTTCATTTGCAGTTGCATTAAGTTTAGAATGGCATGGCTCAGGAAGCAGAATCATTTTTCTAAATAGTTTTTCTAAAGAGTTTCCTATTTCCCTTTTGAGTACCCCTCAACTGAAACCTTTCTCTGATGCTAACAGAGCATAGATGCAGAATGGCCACCACAGGGCCTTTAGGTCAAGCTGTAGTTTTCTTCACAAAGAGCCAAGTCCTTGGAATATAAACAGCCAAAATAAATTCCAGCTTCCAGGCTTTTTCTAGGCCTGTGAACAAATCTTACTTTTTCAGAGATTTCTTTTGTTAGGTTTTAGAATATCTGAGTTTTGGGTTTCTCCTTTTCTTCTCTCATAGCTGGTGGGATTCCTCGGAGATCTATGCTGTCACTGATGCAATTTTACAGTTTTGTAAGTAATAGGACAGAGAAATGAAAAGTGAAATTGCCAAGGCTACGAGATCTTGCAGGTCATGAAAGGCAAATAGAAGGAGAGGAGCTCCCATAAGACTGTACAAGAAAGATGACAGAAGAATTTCAATATTCAGTTGTAGGGGAAAAGGTCCTAAATGATCATCATGAGACTATTGGCCATCTATTTGTCAGTCCATGAGAAGATCTAAAAATCATTGTAGACTGTGCTCTGAAGATATGCATCTAAAGCACCACTGTACAGTGGGCAAGAAAACCTTGCTATCATCAGAAAGCATCTTAGATATCAAGGGAAAATACTTCTATCCTCATATAAAATTATGATGAATTTTACTTAAAACACTGAAACCAGGTGAAAATATATGTAAAGGAACCAAAGAAGGTTTATAGTCAGACTACTAATGTAATTAAAGGGTGACAGTTTCTTTATAATAGAGCTCTTCAGTCTAAAAAGAAAGAATAATAATTTATAAATACATACACATATAAAATTAAAACCTATAAAGTGAAGAAGATACTGTGAAGATAGAGGTCACCCCTAGTGCTATAGTCAGTCACACTAGGGGCTTCCCCAAGCAGCATTTCAATTGTTCTTCATCTTTGACAAATTCTTAACCATTTGTAACCGTTGAAGAATAGTCAGTCCTACTGGAAGCAGAATGATGGAAAAGATGACCTTATAAGGTCCCCTCCAGTTTCACCTTGTAATTCAATACCCTTGGCTTGATTTCTTCACCTCCTATTATTAATCTTGAATAGGGGGTTCCATGTGTGTAAGGGAAGATATGTAACAAAGATTGGGCTAAATATATTTCATTTATTCACTGGCATAACCTTAACCTGATAAATTTATCTGGCGATAATGGATGCAAAACCTGTAAGCTTTAGGCATACCCCTGCAAGTTAATACCAGTGCATGATTACTAGAAACTGTTACCATTTCTCTGAATTTTGAGTAAAATACATGCTATTTAAGTAAAGTGGTTTATCACCATAGCAACCATTTCTAGTGTCACACATTCAAATTATAGGCCTGCCCAAGGTCCAAATGACAAAATTCCAATGCAAGTTTTCTGCTATAGTTTTTTTTTTTTGGAATGTTCACCCACCTTATCTCACATACTACGGTTTTTAGGAGGAAGTGAAAGAAAAACAAAGGGAAGAGAAATCAATTTCCAAATATATAAACTTCTTTTATAAGGTAACCCAAATAAAGACTTGGGTCTTATATGGAATTAATGAAAATGAAATCTAACTTGCTCATTGGAGAAAAATCTAAATATCTTTCTTTTCATTGTAGCTAGGGTATAATTTATATACAGTATAGCACACAAATCTCAAGTGTACAGTTTGAGGCGTTTTGAAAAATATATAGATCTATATAACCAACACCATTGTCAAGAAAGAGAACAATTTCCCAGAAAATTTCCTGTGCCATATTCCACTTAATCCTTTTATCTTGGGGTCATGACTGTTTTTAATTTTTCTAAATACAAATTAGTTTTGCCTTTTCTAAAACTTCATATAAACAAAAAAGAATATAATATGTGATCTTTTGTATCTAACTTATTTTGAATTAATATTTTAATTGAAAATTTTATTAAAATATTTGTGGATTATTATGCTAAACCTTATAAAATTTTGAGATTAATTTACTTATTGGTAATTTTTTTTCTTGCCAAGTTTTACTCCATGTAAGTATATCTTTTAATTTCTTTACCTATTATTCTGTTAATGGACATTTGGGTTGTTCCTAGTTTTAGGCTGTTTATATATGAAGCTTCTATAAACATATCTGACAAAATTTTGTGAATTTACAAGTCATTCTGTGAATTTTGAATTTCTGGGTAAATGCCAAGTGAATACTTAACTTTATAAGTAACTGCAACGTGTATTTTAAGGACTACATCCTACGAGGAATGTAGGGAAATTTCACTTGTTCCATATTCTTGCTAACATTTGGACTTGCCCGTCTTTAATTTGGCCATTTTAGAGTCTTTGACTTTCTAAATTTTAGAAAATTTATCTCATTCACAATATTTTGTAAATTTTGGTATAAATATTTCGTACAATTTTGTTAGATTTATATTTTGTGGTGATATTACAAATAGTATGTAGATTTTTTGTTTTCCTGCTAGTAAAAAAAAAAGAATAAAAAATGCTCTCACAAAAATAGAAGGGAGACTAACAGAATAGAAGATGGGGATCAAGAGGGAGAGAGGATAGGAGGGCATGGGTAAGTACTGGGGAATGAAATCTACTATGTTCTTGGTTGAAAATACCACAGTGAATCTCACTTTTATGCATGATGATAATGCATGAATTAAAACAATAATAATGTTAGAAGGGAGACCAGTACAGTACAGCAAAGAGATGGGGGGAGGGGAAGAGAGAAGGGAAAAGAGAGGTAATGGAGAATGAAATTGATCAAATTATGTTATGTGCATGTACAAATATAGCATAATAAACCCCACTATTATGTATAATTATAATGCTCCAAAAACTTTCAAATAACTTTTTCATTTTCCAGTTGTTCATTGCTAGTGCAGAACACTACATGTGGTTTTTTAATGTACAGATCTTGAATCCTGTAATATCCTCAATTCAATTTTGGTAGATTTCTTGGGATTTTCTATGTACACTACCATGTCATCTACAAATAAAGATAGTTGCATTCTTCCTTTTCAACTAATGTAATTTTGTTTATTTTATTTGCTGGTTGCATTGGTTATGAGCTTTAGTACAATGTTCAAGAGAAGAAGAGAGAACATTCTTGCCTTTCTCCTATTTTTATCAGGAAAATGTTTACTATTTTACCATTGAGAATGATGCTAGTGTTAGTTTTGGGGTTTGGACTTGTTTGTTTTGTAAAATCCCTTTTGTAAAAGAAGTTTCCTTGTATTCCTCACCCAAGGTTGAATTGTCTCTCCTATGTTTGAGTTTTAAATTTTATAAAAAAAAAATTCAAAATTATTGAAGTAATTATATGGCATTTCTCCTTTACTTAACAATATAGTGAATTACACTGATTGCTTTTTGGATGTGAATCCAAAATTGCATTTCTGGAATGTACTGTATATTTGAATGTGATATATTATCTTTTTTATATATTTCTGGATTCAATTTGCTAACCTTGAGTTGAGTATTTTTGCATCTATATTTATTAATTTTCTTCTCTTGTAACATTTCTGTTATGTTTTGGTATTAATGTTTGTTCTTGCCTTATAAATCAGTTGGGAAATATTCTCCAGACTGTATGGAAGTTTTATCTTATTTCTTTCAAGATTTAAAATAGTTAACCAGTGAAATCATTTGAGAATAAAGCTTTATGTACAGTTCTTTATCACATATTTTGTTCTTTAAATAAATACAGAACTATTCTGATTTTCTATTTTTGTGTTTCTATTATGGTAATTAATTCATTGACATTAAATTACTCTTGGGAGGGGCTGGGGATGTGGCTCAA